CTTCACTGTAAAAGAACCTCCTTCTGTGCATGCTCGTCTCCGCTTGAGGAATCGACGTCACAAGAAAACGTGAGCGCAGCGGAGGCGTTCAGCATTTGCAGGGAATGAGAGGTCTTGACGGTTGTCCGGAGACAAAACTGCTAATAATAAGTGTGTTGAGAGGTGAGCAAAACTTGGCAGACAATGCGTGTGAACGCTGATAAGCTGTGATACTTTACCATGGAAGCTGAGCTTGGGGTGAAATGGTGCCCCGGTGGTGTAACTGGTAGCACAATTGCCCGGAAAGCAAGAGATCCGGGTACGAATCCCGGCTGGGGCGAAAGTTTTGCCCACAACTCAGCATTCTTGTGATAACTTTCGCAACGCGAACTGCGGCGTAAAACAGCAGTTATCCAATAAAAACGATTCAAAAACTGGTAATGTTATATAATCAAGAAGGAGAAGCCGTTTTTCACACAAACCTGAATCGCCTTCGAATAAGCTGGCTCCCATCCCAATGCTTGTTATTCCAACATGAATACAAATTATCATCATCCTTTCCGACGGTCACATCTGTCTGCTCCTCTTGTTGCCAAAAAAGCACATCATTCTTCGTTGCCCTTGAGGCAACTAGGGCCTTTGAAGTTGCAGTTCTCGAATGTATCCAAAATCTTGTGTCCTTTGTAGTGTAGTTTGATAAAAGATCTCAAACATGTCCGAAGTCCAACCAATTTTTTTGTTGGTTTCTAGGAAGCCAAAACCCGTCCCCATACAGCCCGCTGCACCTACCGTGGTCATAACCCACCCACGCATAGGGATAATTGACAACCATTCTGAATAAGGCAGATAGTCTATAGAATTTTGAAGTAAAGGTCACTGTGGACTTTATAAGCCTTTTGTCTTATCTGATGAGCTATCTGAGATGAAACGCACAATGCAAGTTTTATTGCCTATGCAACGTCTTGCGATCTGCGTCACCACGTTGCTCAGGGTCCCGATGTCGACTAGCACTGATAAGTTGGCGTTCTGCCTCTCTCAACGCCTTATCGGAATCTGGGCAACTCTACACGGAAGAAGCTACTGCTACGTGTGGTACGGACGGCTTAGTCCGTTTACGCCTAACCGGATCAACTACTATCACCGACCATTGCCTCTTTTGAAGTTTCTCGCAATAGTTCGAAAGTGAAAGTCAAGTCCTTGGTTTTCCACAAGGGTACTTCATATTCAGAATCATGGGAAATTCTAATGGCTATTCAACTTCGTTTTCCAATTCTCTCTTGTTTTTTGATAACATTTTCTTTGAAATACTCTTGAGATCTGACTTTTCACCTTTGCGAGTATAACTGCGAAACAAATACAACTATGTATCTTATCGAACATATTTGGATACCAGCAAACTCCCTACTTTTCACAGTTCCTCATTCATTTTCGTTTTAGCGTTTTTCGTTTTTTCTCCTTACTAGTTTATCGATTATTCCGAGGACCCCATTCCGTAGCACTTTTGTGCAAAGCTGATCAGCTCACTTCCATGTTCACGATCTGGCGTCGCTAGGAACGACCCAGACGCTTCTAAATGCTAAAGTCTAGTCTGGTGATTTTTTAGGAACCAGTTTTCTTCTTTTAATCTTTTCTGAATCCCTCTCCTTTTTTCAGTAGTTTTTCATTTTCCAGCCATCGAGTAAAAATATTGATATTTGTTTGGAAAGGAACTCAGGAATAATTCACATTGTATCCGAAATATTGAGTTACATTTTCACCGTAGCATCGTATTGGCTTCTTCGAAAACACAAAAGTAGCAAGAAAATTTTCCAAGCAAAAACTCTCCCAACCTGCAGCAGCCTTCAACATAACAGCCAGCAATGTCTGATTTTATACTGATATTCGGGCGGAAGTGGTGTAGTGACAAGTGGCGCGCTTACCACGCGAGCGGTCCGGGATCAAATCCTGGGTCGTGAGTCGCCCGGGCCAACCAAGCCTTCCATCCCTCCGGGGTCGGTTAATTGGTACCAGACTTGTCTGGGAGGATAAAAACACTGACTTGAACATCGGCTGGCCCCCTATTCTCGTCACCGTCAAACGCCTGCTTACGCAATGTTACAACTTTGAAGAGAATGCGTGCCGCACGCCCAAAACAAAGTAAATGATCACGGTAAATCTTTATCCCTTTATCCTTTTAGATTGCGGAAGAATACCTCAAATCTTCTGCTACAAGGGAAGGATGGTAGGTCGAAGTGGCCGTTCAAAATGAAATGTATACCTCCTGATGCGTCTCCAGACGCTGATTCCAAATCTGCCTTCCAAATCTGCTAAACGACTCTCCGAACGGAGTTATGAAGCGTAATAGCTCAGTGGTGATGGTCCGGGTGGCAGGTAAAAGCTCGTAGGATCGGTTCCTTTGCAAGTTTGTTGCTTTGCTTTTGTCCGCAACACTTCTAGAGACAAAAGCAAAGCAACCAACTTTGCAAAGGAACCGATCCTACGAGCTTTTACCTGCCACCCCGGACCATCACCACTGAGCTATTACGCTTCATAACTCCGTTCGGAGAGTCGTTTAGCAGATTTGGAAGGCAGATTTGGAATCAGTGTCCGGAGGCACATCAGATAGTATACATCTCATTTTGAACGTCACTTCCACCTACCCATCCCCTTCCCTCTGAGTAGAGGTCAAAAGTTCCTTGGTAGTTTTCAGGATCCCAGCAACTGGAGGTGTCTGTCTGGAACAATGCGACCTCTGATGCTTTTTGGATTGATTTATTGGGCTTTTTTTTTTGCGTTTCTGGCTCTAGAACAGCAAGTTCTAGCTCGAGTGAGCTGTCACTCAGGAACGCTCAGACATAATGTCCCTCCTCAGCTTCACGAAAAATTTGTTTCGCATATCGTCACTTGTATACAATACAGAAACACCTACTTTTCCGAGGTACAAGGTCATCTTACAACACGGTCTAGTCTCATCGTTCCGTACCGTTCATGAATCTGTACGTCATTCAATCCTCAACGAAATGGCCATCGAAAACTGAGTGATACTTTGCTTCAAATAAGTTATGTACGGAATATATTAGAAATCTCCCCGCTTTGGAACATTTTTATATATCGTGTTCTCTTTTTCGATACGATCCAGGGTGGATGGGCGCGTGCAGTTAATTCTCCGGAATGGCATATAGACCCCAATTCATGCAATCACTTCCCACGATTTTCAATTGGAAGATAAACGCGTGGCATGCTCTCGAAATGCCTAGTCACGCCAAAAATAATTTTCCTCGGTCCTTCTGGACTGGATTTTGAAGTGAGCATAAAGTAAAAATAAAAACGTTAATGAACTATTCACAACAGAACGGTTTTGAAGCCATTTTTATTTCATTCTCGCTTTTCTTTCTCCTGCTGTCGCTTCTAACTTCAAGAAGGTCTATTTTGTCGAAAAAACAAGGCCTACGCTGTAAAAACTCGCTACCTGTCCCGCATGCTTCCTGAAAAATCAAAAGGATGTCACCAAAATTACTTTGGAATAATTGAAATGATCAGACATGATCAATTTGTGCTTGACAATGGGTACTACATTAACCTTTCACAACCTTCCTCAAAGTTCGGAGGTGCTTTTCTGTGTACTCCGACCTGAGTCCACCTGCCGCATGCACCTAAGTTAGGAGCGCTTTTAATCTGCCCCTTGCCCGTGATCACTGTCGAAATGTCAACAAGGGATCAAGGTGCATCTTCAATTCATAGCACCAAAGTCATGTTCACGTCAACCATAAGATCAACCACTCGTAATCCACCTCGGGACTGGAGTACACCCCCCTTGTGCTTGTAAAGTCTGCTTGTGTTTGAACAGGCTCTAAAGGCTGTGGTACACCTTATAAATCTTCCGCAACTTTCAATCTTGGTTCAATAGCAGCTAAATGCTTCTCTGGTATATTTTTCATAAAGCACGTTACCATCTTAGCCTCAATGATGAAAGGATGTGCACGTTCAAGTGTCTCGCATCGTGATTAATAGTGCTATTCTGACTCCGATAATAAGCTATAAAGACTCTGGATCGCCTACGCCTCTGAAATAGGGAAGGGAAGAGTTGATAAGAAGGAGCAAAATTTTGCTTGAAGTTGTGTTGCTTGTTTTTATAGAGAAACGACTCAGAACGAATCCAGCTATTCAATTCATCGCAACCCATAAGACCAAAGTCAAGCCTGCTCTTCACCTCAGCAAGATCCATTCAGTATTCCCTATCAGGAAATTCGTAAGATCTATTTCCTTAAACCTTGAGTAAATGACACTCACCCTCTCTTTACTCGTTGCAATATGTGGATAATGGAACACACTGCCTCGGAAGAATATCCACCTAGTGTTTCCTGAAATTCGATGAGATGTTTTTTTTTTGACGTTACTGTGCATAATGTAGAGATTCACATACCGGCGCCACTTCTACACATGCAACAGTTCCGTCAAAAATATCACCGGCAGAAAACGTTGTTTTGCCAAAGAATTCCTGTCAAAACCTGACTTTCACCGTTTTTTTTTGCAATACTATAAAGAAAATAAAGAAAAATAATTAGTAATAGTAATAAATTTTCCAGAACCAAGCCTTTTTTTAAAAAAAAAATGAATATTCTTCGTTTCGAATTTAACGATCATTTCATATTTTTCAAAGAACACCAAAATTTCACATTCCAACATTTTCCAAAAACAAAAATCGTGGCCGTAGTATCAAGGAAACGAACGCAATTGGCTCCCGATAGCTACTAACAAAAAAACAACAACTAGGAATTAATTTCAGACCAAAGAGAATTCACGAAAGCCGACTTGAAAACTAGCCTTCTGAAGATTTTCCAAAACAAGACATCCTCATAAACGGAATTCATGGCGCCATCCTATTTGCACACGCAAGCGATTCGACGACACACGAAAAATTTGCCTAAAATTCATCAAAAAAAAAACGTCACTGGCACATCACCGAGTTGCCGCCAGAATACATATCTGCGGTGATTATCTTTTTCTGAGGATAACTTCAAAAACAAAAGCGGGCCAATAAGGGAATGTGGCGGATACTATCAAAAGCAAAAGCGGCTTAATAAGTGGGTATTGTGGCGCATTGAAAATGAAAGATACGCAAGTTATACGACAGTGGAAGGAGGCTGGCTTGGGAAAGAGGCACGTACAAACAAGTTTTCTGGAGATGTCAGTCGTTCTATCGGTTGATACGGCAATCAACCTAGCTGATTTCACACGTTATGCCAGCCACGCACCACTTCCGGAGGTGGGCGGTCCTGGATTGACCAGGCGGCCCGGATTGAAACCGAACGCCCCGGGGGCCTAACGAGCTTTTTCAAGGTGGGAAGTTGCTGTAATGTGTACAACCTCCAGGCAGGTGTTAGTGCTCTAGCGTGCGTGAGCCTGACCTTTGGCTCTAACATAATAGAAGGCGAGACATATCGACTTTTTCAAATTGCAGTCCTGTGCGATCATTGACCAGTGCATTTGTTCTATCGCTAGAAGACATTTACTACTATTTGAGTCATTCAGATAAAACCACAATTTTCACATAGGTCCATGAATAATCGAATCGAATCCACTTGATTTGCTGACAACCACATAGTCTCTCCGTAATGTAGCAGTGTTTTGTGAAACGTCCGGCAGCATTTTTTTCCTCACTACCCTGACTTTAGCAGCAGTAGTTCACCTCGTACTCTTCTACGCTACTGCAACACTATATCTTATCAGAGGAGTGCAATGCGCTAACTGAAAAAGAACTGGTCACCTAAGCACGCCCTATAATCCGGTCAAGTGTCGGCCAAGTATTCATATGTCTGCATGTATTGTCAGATTCTTACTTCTCTTCTAGCGAATGTGACCGCGCATTCTACAGCATAGACCACCTTACTCACATGAAGAAATCAGAACTTGTAAGCTGAACGCGCTGGAGTCATCCTGTTATGGTACTATACCATATCCATTTTTCCTTTTACAATATTCTAGATATAATAATATTAATATACATAATAATTCATTTTATAGTGTTCATTTCTTTCGCACTCCTCACGGTAACCTCTAAAGCATTCTAATTTACTCTCCAGCTCACCAAATAAAATGATCGCTTTTTCTCGTGAGCTGTAACAGTGCCTTTATCTGTTTATCATAATTTTTCAGAATTAAACCATACCATGAATCGCGCATGGCTGTGGATACTACTCATAGGGTTATCATTGGCAATCACAGTGGCTGGTGAATGCGACGTGAGTTTTCAGAGCGTTCAATTAAAGGCACGGATCCCAGTCAGATCCTTAGAGTTTTTCTCTCCATAAGTGATGTAGCAGCGTCCCCAAGCAAAACAGTACTAGTACTGCCGCTACTCCAAAGTGGGCGACAGGGGCATTGATGGCTCTGCGTTGGCAGCTGCGCCCTGCTGCCATTATTACTCATTCGTGGCATTTGTGCTGTCTGCGTCATTACGTGCGACGTGCTCTCTAGCGTGTTTCCTCGTTGCCGCGCTCTCTCGCGCCGTCGTACTACGGTCGACCTCACAAAGATAGGAGATCCTTAATTCTCGTGTTTGCGATCACGACCCATGTCTTTGGCAATTTTTTCAAAAAATCAGATAGAGACATTCTGAAGACGTTGAAATTTTTGAAATATTCGAGCCTTAAAAAAACTACCTCACCTGGGATAAATGACCATGTTGCCAGCAGAAGCCCGAATCTTGCTCCTAAGCACGGATCTCTCAAATCAATTTCCCACTAAGTTATTACTGTTTTTTATTTGTTTATTTTTGGTTTTCCGATTTCTCCTATTGAGCTATTATTGAATATTTCATGGGCATCAAAGGGTGTAAAAGTCGAAGAAGACTTGCTAATTCAGAATGAGGAGGAAGAAGAGCCACTCACTCGATATCCTATTATATTGTTCAAATGGAGCGAAGTGAAAGTGCCTCTGACGGTGTCATTGTGGCTCGTTGGAGCTAGTATAGCTAAAATTAGTGAGTTTTTTACCCAGTTGGTTTTAAATCGTACCTGAATGATGTGGCAATAATTACAGTATTCCATGCTATTCCGCATTTAACGGAAATGTTTCCCGACTCTGCTTTACTCATTATGATTGGTCTCATCATAGGAATCATTTTCAATTTAGCTGGAGTCGCTAAGGTATGTTCCTATAATAAATGTTAGTTTATAGCTGAGTGCAAGTTAGAGGCACACTCCAGAATTAGTTCAGGTCAACAGATCGCTTAAGTGGATAGGACAGAGCTGTTGATAATTTTGTAGCTGCTCCAAACTCCAAAGTGCGCCACAGACGCTCAGGTCTCCACAAAACCGCTTCGGTCGCTTCCATTTGTCCTCGTTCTAAACATGCAGCTTGCTGCTCCTCTCTCATCCGCTGTGCTCGCTCGCCTATCCTCTCTACTCCACTCAGAGTGTAATTGCGCGACGCCATTCAAGCGAGTAAACCCTAGCATGTCTCATTGGATGTCTCGCTCAATCTTTCTTCGGTGTCAGTCCATCACGCACTGCTTTCATTTTCGTGGCATGCATCTCACCAGTTTGATCGTGGTATGTGCCTTCGATCGTTTGTCGTGGTTATAATAGAAAAGGGTGGCGGCTGAAAGTGAAGAATACGAAGAGCGTGTCGTATCTCAGTTGAAGCATCATTTGCCTGCAGCTGTCGACGGAGGCAGAAAAGCTCCAGCAAAAAAAGGTTGCTCATTTCCAATATGCACATTCAGACAGCTAAGCATGCACATAAGATCTTTGGTATACTCTCTTTCAGAACGAGGTTGTCCTCGCAGCGAAGTGTTCATGCTTTATCTGCTACCTCCATTAGTATTCGATGCAGGTTTGTGCACGCTTTCTACTTAGCATTCCTGCATAAAAGCTGAGATCAAATCAGGGGGCATTCACATGTATTTATGAGACTGTGTTGAATATAGGGCTTCTGCCTGCAAATATAAGGGTGTGTCGCACGTGAACTGCGAAATTTACACAATTCAGTTGAAACATCTTCCAAGTCCCTTCGTAAAAGAGTTCCTCATGAGCATGCTGTTTCACTATGTTCGTCTCATGGAGTCACGGGGCTGGGAAATTTCAAAACTTTTACTGAATTGTCGCGCGGAAACCGCCACTCCCAAACTATATGTATTACTCAGCAGCAATCATTCTGCTCATTTCAGCCCACTCCATATAAGGGCTGTAGAGAGTTACCTCTTACATTAGTGGACCACCACCAGTTTGGAAAAAAAACTCCGAATGGTCCTTCTGGCTTTTCCCTTGGTAATCCTGCCCGCCACGGCTTTCGTGCGAATAGACACGGTGTATAAAGTGGCATGTGCTATAATTGAAATAGAGCTGAGCAGAAAAGGAGGTCTTGATAAAAAAAATATTGGGAAGACGGTTAAGCTAACAATCCAAATGGACAGCGTACACATTTTATTCAAATTTGATAGCTCCAAACAGATTTCAGTTTTCAGGCTACTTCATGCCGGCTCGACAGTTCTTCGACAATCTCGGCTCCATTCTCTGTTTTGCAATGATAGGAACCACCTTCAACATTGTGGCCATCGGTTTGTACATATCTCTCCAAATTCAGCGGTTACAAACTATCGCCAAAGTACTAATAAGGCTCATGCTCCCTCAGAAACCAAAAATATGTTATCACTGCAAAGTTCCTAATGATCTTCGAAAATCTTACTATGCAGCCGAGCTCATTTTCGTCACTTCCAATTAGTACTATCCGAAGCACCATATGTGCGCAGCAAATTCTCTGCGGGCACCTTATCATCTATTCTCCTGAATATTCGGAATAAGGAAAAGGTTTTTCAGAAATTCAGCTCAAACAATTCCTTGCGATTCGTCCTCCGATCATGAAGAAAGAAGGATGTACGTGTGAATATTCCACACTTGTGTAATTCTGAAAGCCGGTATCAATTTCGACACCCTCTCTCACTCTTTAGACAACAGCTTAAAAATGTGCACAAAGTGGATGGGACCTGCGTTTTACATATTATTATATTTTTCATATAAGATACTATTGCGTAAATCATAGGTGAAGCATTGTCTCACCAAGAAGCGCTTAGGTCGTGCTCTGCTATATCTGAATCGTTTTTGCATTATATGTTGACAATTATGCATAGGGAACCTCATTTTTCCTGAGCGGCCCTTGAAATGCCAAAAAAGCAATGAAAGGCGTTCCGAACTGCGAAACGTGGCAACTTTGCATCTCTTCGTATAGCATACATTATACGAAGTTATACCACAAGATTATAAGTTAAGGAACATAGGATGTATACCGTAACCCACGTTTGCGTCAGAGCGCGGTTGCGGGCTTTCCAGTACACAATGCCAGCACTATTGTGAGAGCGATCAACGACGCGCCTGCTTTCAGCCTTCCCTCTCCACGCCCTCCACCAGGGTGAAAATCGTGTCGAGTACGTGGTCGCAGAGGTACGACCCCCCCCGAAATCGAGATCCTGGCACGACCCCCTCTAACAGAGCAAATTAATTCAATTAAAATAAATCCTGCAAAACAAATCAAAAAAAATTCTGCAAAATAATGTTATGGACGCCTCATCTTGTCATCTATGCACTGTCTTTCATCGCTGCACACTTTTGTGTATTTACTGAAATATCGACTCGAGGAAAGAGGCATTAACTTTGTGTGACCTCAAAGTCAGGTTCGTTCAGAAATGCACAGAAATCCTGAAGGCACGGGGTTGCGATTCAATCTTGATTCCTGCTTGAGTATATCAAACAGCCGAGTGTATCAAAGGCCGATTCAACGGCAGCTGCGGCGCGATTGTCACTGGGTCAGATTTGCTGAAATCCCGAAAAAAAACCGTCGAAATCTACACCCTCGATGAAAAGGTTGCATTCCTCCATTTCATAACCTTTGAAGCAGTTTGAGGTAGGGTTAGATAGAGCTGGATTTCGCGTTTCCAAGAAGTATTGAAATTGCTCTGAAAGCCTTCCATGCAGAAAGATAGGGTCTCTCAAATTTCGTCGAGTAAACGTCGAGGACGCTGAAATTTTCACGCGAGTTTTTGCCACTTCAAAGCAATATCTCTCTTGTAAGATCCTGAAAAAGGGAAGATAGTTTTGGAAAGCGGAAGGTTTGCGCTTTCTGATGGTCTGTTTAGCTTTCTTCTACAGCTTTTAGTTGAGAGATATTGCGTCGAGGATCTATCGAGGACGGATCCGGCCACCTGAAAATCCGCTCCCTCATTCACCATTGCAAGTGTGAATTCGTTGGCAACGCTCGAATGTGTCTAGAACAATATCTTTGAACGCAAGCAATAGAAAAGGGGCAATCGTCATCATCCGATTTTGTCTGAGGTATAGGCCATGCATCCGACCTCACTCGAAGTTGCAGAATCGATTCGAAGGTGTCATATGATCATGACCAGTTGACAGAAGCTGCATTGTAGTAAACGCATTTCGTAACTCCTACAACCTAAAGAACAACTTCATTTGCCCAGGGCTTTTCCTTCACGGTTGTCGTTTTTGCGACAGGGTCCCTAACAACAGTGTCATTCGAGCATAGGAGGTGCCTTTGCAGCGCGTGCGCACATGTGGCAGTCTTCTTTGCGGGGATGCACTTTCATTCTTTGTACTGCCTTCAAATACGCCCTTCTCATGAAGGTGGAGGAATGGAGCGACTGAACCTGCAAAGAAAATTTAATATCATGTTTTTTTCAGATATTTTCATTTTCTGCTGCGCTATACCCTCTTACCTATCTGCACCACGATACCACTGCTGTTACTGACCCTCAAGAGTACGACCCCCCATGACCCAGCCCGACAGGTACGACCCCCCTGTCGAGGATTTCCTCGACCGATATTCACCCTGCTCAGGCAGTGGAAAGAAAAATGGAGCGACGTCGCACGTCCCGCCCGCTTGCGCGACGAAGCCGAGCACCATCATGCCGCGGGACCTATCCGCGGAGCGCCGTTCCGCGCGCCGCCATCCGACGTGTGGCGACAACCGCTTGCGTTGTGTCCTCCACCTTCTACATAAACGGCGCATAGTACTCTGCGCGGGCCTGCTCGACGCATTCTCTCTTCGTTGAGAGGGTGCAGAGAAGACGAGAAAATCGATGACACGTGAGAATGCGCGCCCCAGTGCAACGTCGAGAAGGTTACGGTATACACCCTATGTTCCTGAACTTATAATCTTGTGTGGGCCCCGGGATGTCAACGACGCATGATTACCTTTGAGAACCACCAGAAACCATAAGCTACGTTTTTTGCCAAAAGCTGGGCGAAAGATGTGTAGGGTTTTTGATACTTTTTTGCAATCAGAAGCGCACTCAGAGAACGCTAAAACCATAGTTCTGTCCACAACATGTGCCTCTATCATGAAAAGACGAAAAGGACTGGTATGATCTTAAAGCCATACCCAGGCAGAGTTCGTGTGAACGCTTCTCTTTGGTCTCTAGTATAGACCTCTAGAGGACAATCACAGATGTGGCGTCCTCGTGCACGGAAACCGACCGATAAGTGCGCTTGGCCTGACAAAAGTAAGCTGCCCAAGCTGCAGACTTTTTTTTCTTATCAGGCTGTTGTCTGGCGCTCTCTCATCTGTAGCTCTCTCGCCTCATACTCTCCTCCGCGCTTAGTCTCTCATTCCCTTAGCACAGCCGATTAGGAAGGTGAGTGAGCCCTTAACCTAAGCGTTTTTGACGGATTCTTTTCCTTTTTTCTTTACTGCCGGCCCACTTCCACCAATACATTCACATTCGTGTACAAGAGCCACACCAATGTGATCCTGGGGCATGCCTTTAAACCTGCTGATAAGCGGTGACACGCGCCACAAATATAGTCAAGCACTCTAAAAAGAAGTTCGGAAAAGACGAAGTGATTGTTCAACAAAACAGGAATCCTTAAAGTGATCAGCTCCCAGTCTGTTTCTTTAATTCTTGAAACCGACGAGATTTTTCGTATTCACTCATGAGAAAATCAGCAAAATACGCATAAGTTCAAATTTAGCGCTCTCGTTGTGGGCCATTTCTTTGACGGGTCTGTTCTCCGTGGAAACACCACTCATTCATCTGCTGCTATTCGGTTCTGTTGCTGCGGACGTCGATCCAGTTGCTGTCATCGTCATTTTCGAAGAACTTGGGGTGAGTGCCGCGTTGTAGATTTGTAAATCGAACCAAAAATCTTCACTGATTTGTGTGTTGAACTCTTCGAAATAGAGCATTGATGTTGAATTCTATTCACTATACTCTAAATTGTTCTTCGCTCTTAAAGTAATCTGGCACAAGAATTAAGTAGTGAACAAGTTGATCCCTACAACATTTTCATTTATTCTGTTTCGAAAGTGTCAGACAGTTCGGTTAGAAAAATGCATATTCAATAGGATGAATAGCATCGGGATGGTACACGAATAATTGACGTGAAGGCAGCGATCACGATAGAATCTGCTTGGGTTCAGAGCAGGTGAAAATCGTGTCGAGGACGTGGTCAGATCAGTACGACCCCCCCCCTCAGATCGGGATCTTGATACGACCTCTAACTTTGCCTTGATGTGAATAAGCGAGTTCCATCAATGCGCAGCAAAGCGTTCGGTTGCAGCGCGGTTTATCCGTGGGTCAGATTTGCCGAAACCCCGCTCGAAACCGTCGAAATCTACACTCTCGATGAAAAGGTTCCATTCCCCATTTCATAAGTTTTGGAGCAGTATGTGGTAGGATTAGATAGAGCTGGATTTGCTACTACCAGGGCAATATTGGAACTGATCTAAAAGCTTTACACTCGAGGAGATAGGGTCTCTCAAAGTTTGTTGAGCCGTCTGGATGCGGAGTTTGTTCAATGCGATTTCGCCACTGAAAGTAATGTCTCTCTCAATTTGCAAGATCTTCGCGGAAGTAAGATAGTGTTGCGGAAGCGGAAGTCGCGCTTTTAACAGTAGTCTAAACTTTTCTCACATTGTTCTGGTTGAGGAGATATTCGGTCGAGATGCGTCGAGGATCTATCAAGGATCGTTCTCGGCCGCTCAAAAAGCCGCTCCCTTCTTCACCATTGCAAATGTAATTTGTTGACAACGCTCGAAATGTGTCTAGAATAAATTCTCCCAACATAAGCGACAAGAAAAGGGGCAATCGTCATCGTCCGATCTCGTCTCAGTATAGGCCATGCATCCGACCTCCACTCAAGTTGTAGAATCTATTGAAAGTTACACATATGATGATGACCTGTTGACAGAAACTGTGTTGTAGTAAACACATTTCGTAACTCCCGTAACCTAAGGAACAGCTTCATTCGCCCATGGTCTTTCCAGAACTCTTGCCGGTTTGCGACAGCTCCCTAACAACTGCCTCATTTTCAACGAGGTATTAAGGGCGAGAGAGCGGGCCTAGATAAAGGAGGTGCCTCTACAGCACGTGTACACATTGCGGAGATGCACTTTCATTCCTTGTACTGCTTTCAAATACGTCCTTCATAAAGGTAAGAATGAAGCTGGACTTGCGAAAGAATATTTTATCTCATGTTTTCTCACATATCCTTGTTTCTGCTGCGATACACCCTATCTCTCTCTCCTATACGTTGACTGACCCCAATGAGAACGACCCCCCATGACTCCCACCCTGACAAGTACGACTCGTATAACACCTCTCTCCATATGGCGTTATTGACCCACACACACCCCCATAACCCACCCCTGACACAAGTAGACTCGCCTATACACCCTCTCTCTCTACACTACTTACTCAACCCCCAGAGTACGACCACCATGACCCACTCTGACAATACGACCGCTCCTCGAGATTTCTCCACCGATATCACCCCTGCGTTTCAGAATGGAAGACAGTGCTAAACTTGCTTGCTCATCGAGTGAAGCAGAGCAATCAAACAACAAGAACTTGCAAAATGGGAACCCTTTGTATGTCCTGATTGACTACTATGGATGAGTCAGCAACCAAAAAAGTGGACGTCTGGACGAGTTTACCCCGAGACATTCATGCCAGCGAACATCTTGCATTCATTGGTAATGCTTTCCACAGATAAGTTAGAAGGTATGCCTCTCGAAATGAGAAGCGGGCATTGGCAGCACCTGTCCCGATAGGTCCCCCTTTTATCTTAATCACTACCTTTGGAGAACGGTAAGAATTTAAAAGACTGGCCTGGTTTACGTGAACCATACGACGAATCGTAGGAAGAGTATGCCAAGGAGCATATCTGTAGAGAAACTGTGAAGACGTCCTGAAGGCGTATCGCCACAAATTGTGGGGCTGTGAATAGATGTTCACAGTTTACCCTTCTCTTCCTACTTCTTCTTCGATCTCTAACAGCTTCCCGATGCAATCGATCGCTGTTTCGTACGACGTATAATAAATGCTTCCGCTAATTTATGGCCACATGCGTGTTACTTGGTCTTCGTTATCAGCCCAAGTGGCGCTGCGTTTTGCGGCTTGATGTGGCTTTGAACAAAAAAACTTCTACTTTGGTATAACAGGGATCACCTTCAGGGCTTGATAGGCCTGGCTATTTATAGCTGGATTGAAGTTGTGGTGTGATCAGTGGGCTTTCATGCGTCCTTACATGTTTAAAAACCGGTTGATGGGCCTTGACGGTGCCATAGTAACATAACTTATCCCTTTATCGATTTCGAATGAAGAATGGGACTCGTGAATTCAATGTTGACCCAACAGTCCTTTTAAGGAAAGGAACTCATCCCAGAATAGAAAAGAGAAATCCGTGCCAATATGATGTGTTTACCACTGAACATGGTCAGCAACATTCCTCCAATCGTCCCTTCTCATGTTGCATTACCCGAGTTGGATTACCAAAAAGCTGCTGAAAAAAGTCATAGAATTATTAAAACTAATTATGAGCCGTTTCAGGTCAACGAGATCCTATTCATCAGTGTTTTCGGCGAATCGCTGCTCAACGATGGTGTGGCTGTTGTAAGTTACCACTTTGATTATTTGCCTTCACAAGTTTGACAAACA